CTTCAGTCATTAACTATCTAGCGTAAATCCTTTCTAGTAAACTGGAAATTCATTGGTGCATAATGCGTGGTCTCGCTCGTTAGCATGTTTTTTGCGATTTTTTCGCATCATTAGAGATTTTTACCATCCTGAGGATCTCTAGCACGTCATTTCAAGGAGTTGTATTCTAATCATTCAATCGCAATTCTTTAAGGATGACTTTTACGTGCCCTGTAAGGAGCTAGCGTTGAAATTCCAACGAGGCGATATATTGCATGTGATAAGCACTTCCGACGAGAACTGGTGGCAAGCCTATCGTGAAGGAGACGACCCATCCTCATCGCTAGCAGGCCTAATACCATCAACTCATTTTCAGCAGCAGTCAGTTTTCCGTCTCTTTTTCGAAAATATTTGGATTTTTTTTCCAATTTTTTTCGTCTTTCGGAATTTATCATTTACGTTTTCTATTCCATAAATATTTTATTTCTTCTCATATTAGCACTTCTATTTTTCACTGTATTAGAATTCTCCAGTCGGAATTTTTCAGCTTATTTCTCAATATTCCAACGTAACATTTCACTTTCATCGGTTTCTAATCCAGTTGATTATCAAGCGATTTCGCTACGCGATGATTTGCTTAAGCATAAAGATTGTTTTGTTTTAGAGTGATTCTTTACAATCGTGAATTGGAGAGAGAGAACACCTCGGACAGTAGTACAAAACGGAAAGACTTCTTTGGGTGTACCAAGAAGAAATCTTTGGGTAAAGCGAAAGGAAAACGAATTGTGCAGGATGAGATGAAATCAGCTGATGAAGTTTCAAATGATGACAGTGGTTTGTTTCCAACTCTTTTCGCTTCCTTGTCTTCAATTATTCGCATCTTCATTTTTGTGCTGAATTACTTGGAAAGGTGAAAGTAATATTGATACGAGCAATATAAGCAATCCTGTCCGTTAGCAAACAGATACGGTCTGCGGTATTCAGACAGCCGTGTTGTGGATGTGATAAGGAAGATTGCTTACGCATTGTGATGTGCTTGATTGCATTCTCAATGGATACCTTCTGCTTTCAAACAGTCTATCCTCGATCGTTCCCATCATGGAGCAGTTTCAATTTCTAGTTTCGTTTCAAGAATTTTTTCGAGAATTTTCAGAGATGCTCACGTATGAAGAAGTATCACTGTATATGTCGAAAGGGACCCGAAAAAGACCAATAGTTTTGTGTGGACCCGAAGGAGTGGGTTGTCTCGAGCTCAGGCAACGTCTCGTAGAGAGTGATAAGAGTAAATTCGCAAGTGCTGTTCCTCGTAAGTACCTCTGGTTTCTTGGTTTCATTGTCTTATTTCCGTAAGATTTCGTGCAATTGATCAAATTGAATGGATAATAATCGAGCGAGCAGTTCATTGAACATGAAAGGATATCGATCTCGGACTGATGTTTTGCAACTGTTCCCATGTTTAAATGTAGCGACTCCTTCAGAAAGCTGTCTTGTCAATTCAAACAGTTTAGCCGTTATCAAATGTATATTTGATTGTGCGCCACAACAGAGATTATATTGAAAT